TACTAGGAAAGTAATAATAAATATTTTTTTATAAAACAATTTAAATAAAAATAATAAATAAAGGTAAATCATTAAACATAAATTATTAACCTTGTTTAAGTAAATTTTTAATTTTATCATCTTTGACCAAGTCAACAGCCATTTTACCCTTGTGATCTCTAATAGTTACATCTGCACCGTGATCTAAACAAAATTCCACCATTTCTAAATTTTTTTTCTTGGTCACTTCATGTAACAATGTTGTACCAGTTGATGGATCTTGAAGATTTATATCAATTAAAGCAACAACTCTTGGGGTTTGAAATAAATATTGAAGTGCTATATAATTAAAATCTGTTACATATTGATGAAATAATGTTGTTGTTTGCTCAATAAACTCTTGCTTGTTTACTATTTTTTAAAAGAGAGAAAGAATATATATATTATTGAGAAATTTCTGAAAAAAAAAATCATGTAATTAAAAATTTTAAAAGAAAATCACCATTAAATAAATCTATAATTTCTTGATTCTTTGCTAATTCGACAGGTGTTTTGCCGTAATTATTAGGTATCGTATCATTGATCTTTAACTGTTTCAACAAAAGTCCTACTACATCAATTCTGCCATTTTTAGAAGCATAGTGCAATGCAGTATTTCCAAATTGATCGGATTGGTTAATATTAATATTTGGAAAATTAGATAAAATATATTCTATAGTAGAAATTTTAGAACATTGCACTGCTAGTATTAATGGTGATGTTGTACCATTATTAGATGAATTGCCAGTAACAGAATTTGGAGTTGACACTTCATGTGATTGATATGTTGATAGAATTATTTGTAAATTTGATAAATCGTCTAAATAATAGCAAGTATAATTTTTTAATATATAATTTTTTAATAATTATTGAAAAATATTAATAATTTACTTACCTGCACGAAGCGCTTCTAGTAATTTATAAGTTTTTAAAGATTCTTCTAATGCTATTTTTTTAAAAATAGAAAAATAATGAGTGTATTTATTTAATTTTGAGTGTTCGTATGTATCCATTTATCTTACCTGTATTAGTAGTATCTTTCTTTGTTGTGATTCGTAAAGCAGGAGCAGAATTATTTTGAACCTTTTCAACTTGAGGTGTAGAGGTCATAATTTATTTACATAATTTATTTTTCCTAAAATGTTATTTACTGTCAAATTCAAAAAAAATTTGGGAAAATTTTTTCGCGAGAGAAAACTTGATCAATAAATTTTTGTATGATGACTGACTAATGTTGCAGACAAAGTGATACTAAGTACCACAATTGTACTATATACTAGTATAATAGGGCCGAAAAAAAACTACTATAATAATAATAATAGAACCCCGGATTATTATAATTGAAGTAACATCCATTTTGATAGTTTTTAAATTTTCATGTAACTTCAGCAAAGACTTTTTAATATTAATAAGCAGTGTGACTATTTGGGTATAGCGGAAAATTTTTATATCCAAAATCAGGTAAAGCAATTTTTATATGAAATTATGGGTAAACCAAAATTTTAAAATAACAGCTAATACCCTCCTGCTCATTACTAATAAATCATTGACAAAATTTTTATTATTATTTCAAATAATGTTATATTTCAATTATATTAATATGATTTTCTTAACTCTATAGATAAAAAATATATTGGATAATTTCTTCAATGGCTACATATGAAGCTACGTGTCTTATATAGGTAAAGAAAGCTTTTGGTTTTTTGACATGCTTAAAAGGGGTAAAAAATTTTCTAAAATTTACTAATACGTACGTAGTATTAGCCTGGATGTTTTGTTACCTCAATTATAATAATCCGGGGTCCTACTATATTAATATTAATATATATTAATATAATTCGGGTTAAAAAATGTTATTACGTATAGGGTCACTGACTAAAATACACCAATCAACTAGGCACTTTAATTTTACGGTCACATACAATAAGGCTTCTATTCGTAATACATAATATATATTAATATTAATATTAATTTGAATTATTCGTTTCATTCGTTTATTTGTTTTATTGTTTATTTGTCTCGTTTGTTTCACTTGGAAAAAATATCAATCACTTCTACTACTAATACTAATGTTATTATTACCACCACAAGAGAAAAAACAACTATTGTTATTATATCGACTAAAAAAGTTATTGATATTGCTTGATGCTTTTTTTCTTCGAATACTCGAAAATTAATTGCGAATCATCTAATTCGAATATAAGCCCTAACTTACAATAATTTTTCGCTTTTATTTTCTAACTTTTGAGCTTGAGCTTCTGTGTGTACTTTTCTTTCAGCCTTGAATAATGTTTTAATCATTTATTTCAGGTTCTTTCTTTTCTAATTCTTTAGCAAGGAGCCAAAAAGAAACCAAATCAATGATCCGCAAAAAAATTTACTATTGAATGTAAACATTTTCTTTAGAAATGTAACTTTATTTTGAGGCTTAATTGCTTGCTCTTTGTTTTTTTCACTTTTCGCTTTTCCTTTTCACATCCTTTTCGGCTTTTAACTGCTGATGCTGCCAGATCTTATTGTTTGCGATTTACTTGTGTCCTCGTTTCTTTCTTTCCTTCAATCGCTTAATAAAATTCTCATGATTTCTTTCCCTTGTTTTTTGGCTCTCATCACGTTCTGGTTTGTATTGATAGCATTTCTGTTTTCGTTTCTTGCAATCTAGCTTCTAATTCTTGGATTTCTTTATTTTGCTCTTTGATAATTTTTACGATCAATTTTTGCATTGACACTTTCTTTTTCAATCTATTCAATTAGCTGGTCATGTTTATATTTGGTTTGTTGTCTATTCTTTTATCTCATCGTTTAATATTTTCTAATTGGTTCATTTCACTTTGCATATTTACTATTTAATTGATGAACCTTTAAACGAATAATTGTCTTGTATACTTTACAACATTCTGGGGTACAAGTTTTGGGTAAACAAAAATAAATAATGATTCGTTCAAAAGTTATTTTATCTAACATCAGTTAGAATTATATAGACAAATAGTTTATTTTCACGAAATGTTATTAATACACGCGTAATAAATATTCATGTTTATTATATTAAAAAAAGGTCTTAAAAGCAAATAAGATATTAATACATGGTATGCTAAAATATCCACTGTGCTAATTTATAATTCTTTGTAATTTGATCACCACCAACTTGATCTTTTGTATCGCTCATTTTTTCAGAAGGTCCCTTAAATCTATCCCTTAGTAATGTGATATATGCATTTATTTTATCTTTAGTGATATCTTTGACGCTTTTGGTATTTTTGAATGGTCCTCGTTTATCTTTAGTGTTTCAGTTAAAGCCTCAAGTTGTTCGTTTGTCAATTGTTGCGTAGAAGAAACCTATTTAATCATAGCTTCCAATAATTGAAATTTTTGGTTTTTAACCAAATTATCGAAATAAATTTTAATGTAACGTTCATTTTCATCATATATTGTTCTCATAATTTTCTCTGTAACAGAACTGAAAAGGCCGTGTAAACTATTAAAATATTCACTGAATATATTTTTGATCGTAATATTTTTGACTAATATATCTAATGCATCTTGAGTTATTTCTTGTGTTAGCAATCTGTAATCATTAGCTGCTTCAATAATATAATCGGCTGTACTCACGAATTGGTTCACAAGCCAAGGTGATTTTTTATAATCCTCGTAAGAGAAGGGCATTGTCGATTTAACTGCGGATGTTGATATTTTCTTGTGTCGAGATATTATTTCTTGAATTCCATGTACTACAAGTATAAGCTGTGGCAGGACTCTAGTTTTTGAAATATTGTTGGTGGATTTATTAAATTCGTCAATAAACCATTCAATTGTATCGTTAATAATGTCTTTTAGAATTATGAATGTCTTATTGTATGGTTATTTAGTGCGTTGATTAGATTTTTGTTTACATTGGTTTGTTTTAGCTGTGAGTTGGCTTCGTCAAACATTTGTATTTGGGACATTGATCTTCGGTTAATCTCAACCGTGCGCTTCAAAATCTTGGGGAATCATAGGATTTGCAAAGTGAGTTTTTTACAAACTAATGGAAAATATTTCCATTACTTGGAAAGATAAATATCATTCAACTTCACCATCATCATTATTAGTTGCTGATATTGATTTTCACTATACATTAAGCAACGTCTCTTTAATTCTCTAAAATAATTTTTATCAGAAGATAAATTTTGTTACTGGTTTGAAGAACAACGAGGCATATATTTTTTAAATATTTTTAAATTGATTGTGAAAACAATTAAGTGCGGAATCAAGCTCAATGCCAAATTTAAAAATTGCTGATTTTGTACAAAGATTCAATGTTATAGGAAAAGTTGTCGCCAAGTCAATTATATTCCAATAATCATCTAATTTTGCATCTATTAAGAAGCTAATTCATATTGACTGAATTCATTCATCATCATGTATTTCTAAAATCATAAACTGAACATCAGTCATTGTAGGATAAGATGATTCTGAAAAGAAACTTAGCTGCCTTTTCCAAAGGTTCTAAAGAACAAATGTATCTTGTATATATTTACTTTAATTAGATTATATCTTAATTAAAATGAAATAAAGTTTTATAGATCAATTACACTATTTGCATCAGGTAAAAGATTTGAATGGATGCTTCTTCAGTCTCAACAAACGTAATGTCATCTCCATTTGCTGTTCCGCCTGTTTTTATATCAATTTCTGGTTTCAGTTAATCATCACTGAACCTTTAAATTTAAATATCAAATTTCTTATTAAATCAATTTGCACATCTATAATTAACTCAGGATTTTGTTTGAGGACCCTTACACATAAAACCATAGCAGATTCATTATCTGTTTTAAGACTCTTTTTTGATAAACTAAAGGACCATACGTCTGTTGTAATTGATACCCTCCTGAAACTTCTTCAATGTACAGTGTGGGACAAAAAATTTTGCCTTCGGTAATATTACAATAACTTTACAACCAACAAAGCAAATCACTTATAAAATAGCTCATTTAAAACTATGAAATGAATCGATTTTATTATAAAAATTAAAAAGGAATTCGTTCGCCATTTCTTTCAATAATCGCTTCGCAACGTCTCTTCATTGAGCCTATCAAATTTTTTATAACAGAATCCGGAATACTCTCCCACTCCTCAATCATAAAACACTTTAATTCGGTGAGATTTTTTGGTCGTCGCCTTTCTACATTAGTCTTAACTATGCTCCAAAGATTTTCTATGGGATTGATGTCAGGGCTGTTAGATGGCCAGTCAATAACTTCAGGCATATTCGCCTGAAGGAACTCCCAAGCTACAGCACTTGTATGCTTGGAATCATTGTCTTGCTGAAAGTGCCAGACACGTCCTAGCATTTGTTGAATCTCAGGCAAGTGCTTCTGAAGGATTTCGACATAAAAAGGTCCCATCATTATTTCTTGAAAGCAGAAAAGGCTAGTTTTCCTGTTGCACAAAATCCACCCCAGGCAAAAATTTTTGAATGATTTTTTGGAATAGGGTGTATTGGTCATGCACCCTTATACCATTGTTTTATGGTATTTCGGAATAACTGAAAAGCAGTTTCATCTGAAAAAAGGGGTTTTTTCCAGTTATCATTAAGGTGAGTGCAAGCCCATTCTACACGTTTTCTTTTATGGACACTGGTAAGCATTGGAGTGACTGCGGGTAAATTATTTTTATAACCCAGACTGTGTAGATGTCTCGAAACAGTTCTATAAGATGCTTCAAGATCATTTTCAGATAACTTAGTTGCTATCTTTCAAGAAGAGAGAGATGGATCACGTCTCAAGTACTGGCCAATGGCCTTAGATGATCTTGAAGTAATTTTTTTAGGGCAACCACTCCCTTCTTTACGCGCAATACTACCAGTATCCTTTATTTTTTTAATATTATAATTAATCGTCCTTAATGGGATGTTAGTTTGTTTATGAATCTCTTGAGGAGATCGTATTCCATTGTTCCAAAAATGTAAAATAACTTGAGGGTGCGATTTTTTATCTAGTAATGTCATTTTGATTGTGATTTAAAAGAAACAACAGTGAAATAATTCTAACTTCGAATATGTAAACAATGTTCCACATAACACGATACAAATTTGGTATATTATTCGTGTGATACTCTTTAAATTTAGTAAGTATACAGGTTTTAATTACATCAACATTGAGGGCAAAATTTTTTGTCCCACACTGTATATGAGATACAAAGAATAGTATACATATAAAAGAACCAGGATCTCAAATATTTTTTACTGTTATTTGATGACATTATTCCACAGAAAATTTTCACAGTTTGCTTTGAATTTAATATCTTAAACAAAATTTATACATGAAATAAAATTATTGATGGTTGTGAAAGGATCAACATTTTTATTAGTTTTAAATAGTGATGGAATTTTTAACCCTACACTTAATAACTCCAAGTTATTAATAGTTAATAACCACTTATTAACTGTTGCACTGAGTGCAGGGTTGGCAAATGTGCAGTCCATTGATGGTCTATTGGTGGTCCATTGGGTCCATTAGTGTAACCCTTTAACCATATTTAGTATTTTATTAATGGCAATGGACCAGTCCAAAATCCATCTGTTCTCAATGGACCAGTCAATTTGCCAACCCTGAGTGGAGTTCCATCTTCTATAAAGCTCAGTTCTTCCTCATCAGCTTCATTTGTTTGATAATTTTCATTATTTATTATGAGTACAACTGCTCTATCCTCAATTTGCATTTGACTGGCCACCACAATCACTTCTCTATGATTCTCCTCTTCCTCTTCTACTTCCTCTTCATCATCTACTTCTTTTCCTTCATCCATTTCTTCTACATCATCCACTTCTTCTACATCACCCACTTCTTCTACATCATCCACTTCTACATCATCAATTTTTCTACATCATTTATTTCTATTTCATGTCTCTCTCTTCATTATTCACAACCTCTCCCTCTTCATCATAAACATCTTTTAACAGATTAAAAATTTCATCAGGTTGTAATGGCATTTTTATATTTTCGTCTTGAATAAAATCCTTAATCTTATTGTATAAAGCATGTAGGTCAAATAATTAGAATGACAATTTGTGGCAATAACCAACACCACTTTTCTTTTTAATAATCATTAACTAGAGTGACGTTGAGTAATGATGAGTGGTGATAGCCACAACCATAAACACTTATCCAGCAGGAACAAATTCCCTTTGTCATTTATTATTACTTCTGGTGTCTTTTGGCATTTTTAAAGATGTGTTATGAAAAAAAGAAACACGTGAACAAAATATTATTAATTATTATTGGCACTTGGTGTTGCACAAGGAATTTTTTTGGGTGACAGATGCAAATTGGGGGGTTTTTTTTTGGAAAAACATTTATTTTTCAAGGTGAGGAAATGTTAGTGTTGTTGTTTGGTTCTCCTAAGATGTGTTAATAACAGAGGTACTATTTTTTATTTGAATTGATATAATGTGGTGCCTTTTAGTTTATAAATATTTTGATTGGAATCAAAACGCAGAGCAGATCTTTATGGGTAATTATAAGATCCTTATCAAGATGATAATAAATGAACAATTGGTATTTTGCTTTTCGTAATCAGTAATAATATTAATATTAATATAATTAATTACAAGTCAAAACAGCATGACTGAAACAATTCAAATATGAAACAATTCACATTTAAATATGCAATGTTTGATTATTACAATAAAAACACTAAATTAGCAAAGAACAAAGAAAATTAGTTAAAAAAAATTATTTAAAGGGTAAACACCATATTGCAGCATTGATGCCACTGCTCATTATAGTTATGATTGAGCCCAAAATGTTCATGTATCACATTTAGATCAACAAGTAAGTAAAATCTATTACCTTAGTCCATGTAAAGTTCATTTATTTGGTATTCAAGATGAAGCAGTAAGGGAACAAATTAATTATGTTCTTAATGAAGATGAAATTATAGGAAAAGGACCCAATGGCACTCTTAGCATGATTTTTGATGGAATTAAGAAATTGAATAAAGGTGAAAAGCATTTAAAGATTACTTGTGATAATGCTGGTGGACAAAATAAAAATAATGTAACAATTTGGTTTTATTTATATTTGGTAATTTGTGGTTATTACAAAAGCATTGAATTGAATTTCATGATTCCTGGGCATACCAAATTCAAGTGTGATGGTAGTTTTGGATTAATTAAAAACTCTATAGAAAACAAGAGTAGATTGTGTGAACCATGTTGTAGAAGTTGTAAAAAGATCTAATCCAGCAGGATTGAATAAAACTCAATGCTATGAAGGTGGAAAAAGTTTTCAATACTTAGATATTAAAACAATTTTGGGAATTTATTTTAAGAAATTACCAAGTATACAGAATTACAACATTTTCTTTTTGAAGCATCTAATTTTGATACAATAAAAGTTCAAGAAGTTGCTAATGGACCTTTTACTGAATTCAATTTATTGAAAACCAAGAAAGCAGGTATTTTTGAAGAAATTAAAGCTTTGTCTATTTTAGTGTTAATTAGTGTTGTGACCAGAAACTCTTTGGCTTCCCGAAATGTTTCAGAAAATGAACTTACACTAAGCAGAAAACTAAAACTAAACCTAAACCTAGTCATAAACTACTAACCTAAACTAGTTTCGGGTGGTTTCTGTTAGTTTCTGTTTTGGGTTTTCCCTAAACTCAGAGTTTCGGGTCACAACACTGGTGTTAATACCGCCTCCTTTGGATTATAAAAGACAAAAATATCTTTATCATAATATTCGCCCACTTGTGAAAGATGAATATAAAGATATTACTTGACCCAAGCCAGCACAAAATGTAATTGAATAATTTTTATACTAATAAAAGATATTAGATGTCATAATTAACTTTTATTTTTCCTAACCTTAATTACCTTAATAACTGAAATAACTAGAAAAAAGCAAGTGTTCCACAACCAACCATTCAGTAAATTTTTTCTTGTTTGCTCTTGTCAAGTTGGTTTTCTAATTGAGCCTGAGGAACTTTATTTCATTTTTGATAATAAGCCCCTGGATCTCTTATTTTTTCTGCAACTCTCTCACCTTCCATAATGCCTAAAAATTGATTTTTTGGGGGTAAGGATACCGGCTGCAACTTTTGATGATGGTTGCTACCACCTTTGCGTCATATAAAAATGATTGCAACCACTGGTTGCAACCACCTTTACGACCATTTTGTTTCCTTTTTTGGATTGCGACATGGAACACTATTTGGGGGTCTGAATTGCCTTCATCATTTTTGCAACGTAAATCTAGGAAAAAATAATATCAAAAATTCAGATGGGGATAAGTCTCACTATAACTTGAAGGAGTTTATGCTTCTTTTCTTCATAATTGTGTAGCCTTTTCCTTAAGCTCACATTTGATGGTATAACCACCAGCAAATGATGCGGATTTCATTTTTTGTATAAGTTCTTGACAGGCTTCTCCAATTTGGTCACAAGTTTCTTGATCCTCAGCATTGATATCATTGGGTAAATGATTTTTGATAGAAATGGTTATATTTCCTATTTCAATGTGTAATTTGGCAACAATTTTACCCTTTTCTGCAATGATAGTATTGTTATCTGTTAATTGGAAAAGTTTTTTTGCATCCTTGGCCACTTCTGGGGCAAAACTTTTTCCTAACACACTTTTGATTTCTACACTTCCATAACCCTCTTTGTATTTAGGGACTACCTGCATATAAAAATGGGGTAGGTTTTGGGTGCCAATTGGTGATATTGGCATCCTAACTCTGTAGCCTGTTGGATTATATGCCTTGTCAAGTTTATTAGTGTTCCATGTCACAATCCAAAAAAGGAAACAAAATGTTCATAAAGATGGTAGCAACCATCATCAAAAGTTGCAGCTGGTATCCTTAAAGTTTATTTACAACATCCCTAAACACAGGCAAAATGTCTGATCATTCTTGCCTAGTTATTTCTTCAAAGGTGTCAGCATAGTGTTTGGTACATAATGCTACATGACCTTTAGAGTTTGCTCTTAAAACTACCCCAGCAGTAATGCCACCTCCTAAATCAGAAACTTGACTTTTAAGCATTCCTTTTTTATTTAGTTACATTTTGTCACACATATGGCAAACTATTTCACTCCCTTCTGCACTTTTTGGACAAATATAACTGCCATTGGTCTCCCATTAAATTAACTAATCCTAGGTTATATATAACAAAAATGTTATATTCTATCATTTAGGAATGAATCATATCTTAACATATCTCTTTTTTTAATGAAAGAACATAAGGAAAAGAAAATAATCATAACTGTTTTTTGCAAGTATCACTCAGAAATTGTGTTACTCATTAGGAGTTTTTATGCATGTTTGTGCATGTCAGTACTTTAAAATAATTGAAATTAAATGTAATACAATATAAATTCATATATCACAAATGATCATCACATTTTTGATATAATCAAATTTCCACCATGTTTGTAGTTGAATGATTTGTCACACTAAATGGTTGGGAATAAGGTTTCTGGTCCAAACTGTTTTCTCGAAGCCCAAACTAGTTTGGGTAATTTGGGCTTCTTAACATTTTTTATAAGCATGAACATTAAAAAACTATACGAAACAACTTGTTTTAACTTAAACAACTTTAAAATAATTTCACCCAATTTTGGCTAATAACAAAAAGTAGTTTGGGCTAATGATGCCATCTGTAAATAGTTTGGCCATTCTGTAATATGACAACTTTTCAATTATGCAGTTGTCAGAAAATCTGTAATATGTAAATGTATCTGTAATTCTGCAATTCTGCAATATGTAAATGTATCTGCAATTCTGCAATTCTGTAATATGTAAATGTATCTGTAATTCTGTAATTCTGTAATAAATATGTTATGTAATTGAAAATTATAATCAAATCAAAATTTTTTGCAGTTTA